GAAGGTTTAGGGATGTTTTTTTTAGCCGGCTTTCGGGGTCCGGGGATGAAGGGCTGGCGCTTTCGGTCGAGGGTCGAAGAACTTAGCAGTTTATCGCAAAAGCCAGAAAGTTGGAACATCATTATCCTCATGGCCTTAAGGCAAAGTATAAAGGATCCTATAGGTCCTAGCACTAATCCTCCTAAAGCCATGTTCCAACTTTCTGGCTTACTATAGGCTTTCAGACTTTGGGGGTTTGGGGCTAAAGGTTCAGGGTTGTCTGCTGCGGGGTCGGATGTCCGCGCCTTCTAGCCCTGCTTGGCTATCTGATTGATATTCCACTGGTTCACCCTAAACCCTACATAGGTTGTGATGATTCTGCTAGTGGCCCTGATGATGATGGGGAGGAGAAGAAAAAGAATTAAAAGGAGGAGGAGGAGGAGGAGGAGGAGGAGGAGGAGGACTCTGGGTTCGTGTTGTAATATGGTTTCCTTATCATGGTAACTTAAATCAAATCCTTTAACATGAATCCAGGATAATGACGGATTCCGACTGCCATGGCGAGCGCCGCTCCCTGAATCGAAGTGATGGGCCCTGTCCTCATGGAACTGCTCTTCGCTGGTGGTCATGATGTTCCTTGCGAGCTTGCGGGGATTTCTGGGTTGAGCGAGTGCTGCAATTGCTTCATTAGCTTGAAGGGTTTGGGACTTCATGGCTTTGGGCTTAGGAAGGCTTTCAAAGTTCGAAACATTCGGTTCGAGCTGGAGGTGCCATGGGAGGCATTCTTCGGATAGAGATGCCAAAAACCGCCTGTAGAGTAGTGTAGGGGCCTTTATAATAAGAATAGGGTTTCGGGGGCCATGATACTACAATTATAATAAGGAACCCCAAATGGTATTGATAATTATTTGGGCCCCTCTATTAATGCCTTACAGAGCGTAGGGTTCAGGTTTAGGAAAACCTTCGCAGCCCTGGCAAGAAGCTTTACGGGATTCGAGTCCCTACAAGCAGCTATGCATAACAGCAGGCACAAGAGTAGTTGTCAAAACTCTGGTCCTTTTGGGATACCCCAAATATTAAGTGACGTATTTTGTTAGGGACCCAAAAAGGACCAGAATTTCGACAACCACCCACATGTAGATCCATTCTTCGAAACCCTGTAAACCCTAAATGTGACAACAACCTGCGTCCGCCCGAGAAGCGTCCCAAGAACACGATGCCCAGCTACGGTACCCGACTTTTTGACAAACCCTCGTGATTACAAAAGACCCTACATGAAAACCGTGAAAGCAATAAAAAAAAACCTAAACCCCAAACCCCCAACTCAAAACCCTAAAAAGCACACATAGAAATGTCTCAGTCAGGTCTCCCTCCCGGGTTCGGGGCGTTGGCCTTCGCCAGGGGGGCGGAAATCCGTGTGGGTGGCTTTTCTTTGCAGGGTTTAGGGCTTCAGGGTTAAAGGGTTTAAGAGTTGTAACCATGGTGTGGGGTGTGATGGAATTCTCTATAACATGTTGCCAGAGCCTCTTATGAGTCTCTAAACTAGGGTTTTAAGAAAGGCTTCCTACCAAAAGGCTTGCCTGATTGAAGGGGGTCCTTGTCATCAGGATCCACTACTCACTGGCCCAAAACCCAAGGAAATAACAGTTGAAACTTTCAGAATCGACTACCTTATAAGAACCCCAAAAGTTGAAAAGTTGAGTTTACAGCCAATAAGACTATGGCCATCGACGGCTTACACCAGCGTTCTGGCTTTGCTTTCGGGGCTTTGGGGGGTCCCCGTTTTTTGGGGGGAGTCCCAAGCTTGGGGCTTCGGGCTCTAGGGAGTTTAAAGCGTTGCTTGGGGGGGGGGGGGCATAGCCTGATGATTTAGGGTTTAGGGTTTAGGGTTTAGGGTTTAGGGGCCTGATGATTTAGCCCTACTCCCTATTATAGGACTTTAGGGCCTTTTTAGGTACCAAAAACCATAAATAGGAACTACTTGGACCCTGTAGGGGTTCAAGTTCAGAGCTCGAGCTTTCGCGCTTGGGGGCCTCATGCTGTTGATGTTTGCTTGCTTCACCAGATGGTCGACTCGACAAGCCGTTGGAAGGCGCAGCGGGGTGGAGGGGGTTGTAGGGTTTAGGGTGTAGGGTTTAGGGTAACTTAGGAGTACTTAGAAATAATTTTTAAGGGAGGGGGGTGGCATGGCCTTCAAGGGTTAGGTCGTTAGGGATTCAAGCTTTCGGCTTTAGGGTCTAGGGCTCATTGCTTAGACTGCAGCGGGAGGGGTGTAGGGTTAGGGTTGAGGGTTTAGGGCTTGAGGTTTTGGGCTTCGGGTCGTGGTGGTGAGGGTTCAGTCATGTCCTGAGACTCACCACTTCGACCTGAGACTCGCAACCCAAAGTCTTCTCAGGGCCTATATGTGGTGCGCGGATGCTGGCACATATAGACCCTAACCCCAATGAGTTACGATGAACTCTACAACCCTGAAACACCCCGCAACATCCTTAGAAAACCTCTTAATGACTCTATCCGCGGGTTGTGGAAGTTCAAGCCTTGACATGTACAGCCTCAGCCCTACTGCAACAAAGGGGCCTTCATGCATACCTAGATACGGCTCTGGGGTGCCGTATGCTATTACTAAGTACCTATTTCGACCCTCTCCACCTTGCGCATTTTCATCGTGCTGCCGCCGGCACCGCCCCTGCCCTGAGTACCACTGAGCCTTGGTGGCACTGTCGAGATCTGGGGAGGAGGAACAGGCCTAAACCCTAAACCCTCAACCCTAAACCTCAAACCCTGAACCCTCAACCCTAAACCCTAAACCCTGAACCCTCAACCCTAAATCCTGAACCCTCAACCCTCAACCCTAAACCCTAAACCCCAACCCGTAAACCCCAAATCCCAAACCCTCAACCAGAGCAGTCTCTGCAGCAGGAAGCCGGGACGCCGAAGGGCCGAGTTCTTGGGGGTTTAGGGTTTAGGCTTCGGGGCTTAGGGTTTGTAGGGTCTAGGATTTACGGTTCAGGGTTTAAGGCCTGGGTTGAGGGTTTGCTTTAAACTCTAAACCTCACTCCGAAAAGACATATCTCAAAACGTACTTCCTCCTAGGCGCAGCTCATAGATTCTTGCCCCCTTGCCCCGAAGCCCGAGACCCTGAATCCGAGGCCCCCAGACCTAAATCCTTATTTATGCACCATAAACCTGGTTCATGGGTTGGGATCGGATTACAAATTCACATTTGTATTCCTTATTGGGTGTAAGTACCCATAAAAATCTCAAGTGTTACCCAACTATGACAAAGAAGCCTGGACCTGTCTTCCTAGAAGCCCTACAGCCCCTGAAGCCCTGAAGCGCAACTTCGAGACTCGGAGACCGGAGCCAAATTCTCGCCCTTACGATACCAGAGTTCGAAAAGCAAAGCATTTGCCGCAGAATATGACTATGGTAAACCCTGCAAAATCCCTTTCAAAAAAACACAGTACGTTCTGAGTCTGACTCCTTGAATTAGGGCCCTTTGCAAGTATCCGGAAGGCCCCGCCAGCTTCGTCCAACCTGAACTGTCTAAGTGCCGGACATCATCCCCATCCTTGCTCTCCGAGATACTCAGGGTCGGTTTTTGAGGACATTTTAAGGTTTAGCCTGTTGAACTTACAGGAATTTGGCATTCATTTTTGGCATTCATTTCTGAAGCCTTTCGAGCAATTTGGGGTGGGTTTAGGGTTTCAGGTTTAGGCGCATAGGGTACAGTTTCAGCTTTGTAGATGGTAGAGTCGCTGTTTCAATAAAAGGGCGTGGGAGCCTTCGGCTGTCATAGTGTTTATGCATCTCCTGCGTTTAGGGTTTCTTTTCGGTTTCAATTCATTTGGAACTGGGTTCCGAAGCGTGATCCCTTGGTGCCTTCACATTGAAGTGTATCCTTTAGTCTTCAGCAGCAGTTCAGCAGCATTGGAAAGGTTTGGAACAGCCCTCTCCCAGGGAGCTGAAGATGCAGGGATTAAGGTTTGTTTCAGGGGCCTCCTCCTTGCCCATGCCGGGAGGAGGCCGCTGTCGTTCGTGGTTTTTTCAGCGGCCCGTCCATGCAAATCCCGATTAAGGCAGCAACACGGAAAGTCCCTGGAAACCTGTTTCAGAGAAACAACGGTTACTCACAAATCCCCTGCCAGAAACTCCAATTGGACGCTTAACCTCGAACTAAACCCTAAACCCTCAACCGAACCCCTAATCCCAACGGCCCCGTGATCGCAGCATAATCTACCCGAAGACCCCGTTCCAATCTTCCAGACCCCTATACCCTAAAACCTAGATGAGCCCTTGACCCCTCCAAGGCTTACAGCAACCCCGTAAAGCATTGCAGAAACCTCCCTCAACCTTGCAGAACTCCCCCTAAACCGTTATAAACTCCCTAACACTCGACTGAAAGCCTGACAAGAATCCTCGAAGGAACCCTATGTTAAACCCTACCTAACATGTCGCTATGAAATCTAGCTACACCATGCCTCAAAACAACACCTCAAAAGCCGAGCCACTTCTTCTGGAGGATGCCATGCCATTTCTTGCTCGACCCGGCACCGCCACCACCGCCACCGGCGGCCATCGTACCTGGGCGTCGGAGGTTCAGAGTTCAAGGCTTTCTGTCAGCTTTGGGGTTTAGCGGCTACAAAAAAGGTTAGGGGGTTAGGGTTTAGGGTTCAGGGTTTAGGGTTTGGGGTTTAGGGTTTAGGGTTTAGGGTTAGATGCATGTCTAAAGGTGAGGCTTAGAGGCAGATCGTGGCTTTCCCTGGGGAGCTTCTGGGGCTCATGAAGCCTCGCAAGTCAAGCAGCCTTGAAGAACCCTGTAAGAAAGCCTCAAAGGAACCCTATGACCAAAACAACATGAACTCGCGAGTCATGAGCCTAAACCCGAAACCCTAACAACCCTGAAACCCTAAACCCCTGTACGAAATCCCCAAACCTCGAAAAACCCTAGAACACCAAACCCCTACAGCCCTAAATCCCTAAAACCTCGTAGCCCTAAACCTGAAACCCTAAACTTTTAAACCCTAAAACCCCCAACCCCTAAAGCCCTAAATCCCTAAAACCTCGTAAGTCCAGAGCCCAAGCGGCGGCTGGAGCCTCTTCGGTCGGCCACGGCCCGGGTGGCGGCGCCCGCTAAGCTGGAGAAGCTGATGCTGCCAGCCCTGGTTTGGGGTTTAGGGGTTTAGGGTTTAGAGTTTAGGGTTTAGGGTTTTCGTTTAGAAGCTGCCCCCACCCTGTAATAGTGACCATAGGGATTATATAGGATTATATTAGGGCCCTATTATGCTCCTATTATACCACTATTACAGGGTGGGGGCATCTCCTAAGTTTTCGTTCTTAAGATTTAGGGTTTCTACGCTCCTTCAAGAGCTCAAACCAGGGTCTTCGGATGGCCCAGGTTTGGGGTTTAGGGTTTAGCTGGGCTCCTTTATGAGTTTTGGGATCTTAGGGTTTAGGGTTTAGGGTACGGGTTCTGGCCCTGATTGGGGGTTTATGGGTTTCGTTCTTAGGACTTAGGGGTTTCGCTCTTAGAATATAGGGGCTTCGTGCTTAGGATTTAGGGCTCCTTCAAGGGTTCTAGGGTCTTCGGATGCTTAACTAAGGATGAAAATAATACCCGAAACACTACAACGCCCCAAAGCACCAAATCCAAAAACCCTAATGAGACCCACCACTTTAGCCAATAACGCCAAACCCGAACACCTCAGTGCCCTAACACTCTCAAACCCCTTAAAACCTAAAAGCCCTTCACGTAAGCCCTTCTGGAAACCCTCTGAGTCTAATATAAACTCAAAACCTGCAAGAATCCCTCTTGTTCCGCCCGAAAGGCCTGCCACTCATCGAGGCACGCGCTTTGGAGCCGCGCAGTTTCAGCGAGGAGCTCTTTTTCCTTTCATGGGCCGTTAGAGGATTTTTAGTTGGACCCAGGCTGCTGGGCTAATTGCGGCGCGTTTTTTTGGTAGCCGGGTCTTCCTTAAAACCTAAAACCTAAAGCCTAAAGCCTAGCTCGCCGTGTAGGGATCTCTGTGGTTTTGACAGTGTCTAAGGTCTCATGGAAGCGGAATAACCCAAACCCTAAACCCCAAACCCGAAAGCCCAAACCCGAAAAGCAATGGAGCGCAATGCAGGGTGCAGAAATTTACTTTTCAGGCTGCAGGGACTCAAAGAGCTTGGAGTTATGCGAGGGCCGTTGGGGCTCAGATATACTATAATATGCAATGGTATACTATAGCACTATGCTAAGACATAGTCTTATGAACTAGTATACTACTGTATTTTGCTATATTAGCTATGTTCTATAATATCTGCTGTGCTACCAAAATGTATTACGATATACTCGCGCAAGTACTGAAGTGTACCATCATCGGAGGTTCGAGGGTTAGGATCCCGAGTATAAGTCGGCTAAGAGAAGCGTTATTCTCCTGTTTAGGGCTTAGGGCTTATGGTTGGGGTTTACGGAAACTGCCGGGAAACTGTGCACCCAAGAACCACCAACAGAACGCAACACAGCCCCTTGGACTGTGCCTTATACTATACGACCACCCTGAGCCCAGATCGCCATTAAGGAATGGTCCCAAGCTAAATAAGTATGCCCAAACCGGGGACTTTCAACTCCGAAATGGCGAGTGGAAGTTCAATTGAAATAACAAGCAGCAACACACCCAAAACTCTAACTCCAAAAGGCCCGAACCTGTCAGAATAAGAGAATTCGAGGATGCTGGAATCCAACGCGTTCCCTCAACTGAACAATAAGGCCACTACGAGAACCCTAAACCTAGTAAGTGCCGAACAATGGCCTTCCCGCTTCATCAGCGGAGCGATCCTCCCGAACGGGCTTACGGTTGCAAGGGCCCGAAGAAGGTTGTAAGGACATGTGGGTGTTTGTCAAAATTATGGTCCAGACCCTAATTTCGACAACCACCCAACAGACACAGTCACAGTGGACTGTCATGGTACCGAGCTGCAGCTGCTGCTGTTGCTGCCGTAGTTGGTGGCTTTTGTACAGGTTAACGGCCCTACACGCAAACAAACCTAAACGCTGCCCTGACGCCCACGGCAGTTCCATAAATCTAAACCCGGAGTAAACCAAAGCCTTCAAGCCCAGATCAACCCAAACCTTAACCCTAGCTCAAGCCCTGCAACATGAAACACCCAGGCCATCAGACTTTGCGGCTTCTCCCAGCACTGGCTGAATCTAAACCCCAAACCCTGAAGCCTAAACTCTGAACCTAAAACCCTAAAACCCTAAAACCCTAAACCCTAAACCCCTAAACCCCTAAACCCTAAACCCTAAACCCCTAGACCCTAAACCCCTAAGACCCTAAACCCCTAGACCCCAAACCCTGAACCCCTTTCGGCTTCCTCCCCGGCCCGGCCTGGATGAGTCCGGACATCCGCCTGGACGCTGACCCTCGATTCCCTGTCGGGGCAGCCTTAAAGTGAACCTTCTTCCACTCCTTGGCGCGGAAAGGTTTAGGGTTTAGGGGTTTGGGGCTTGGCGCGGAAAGGACAGAGCGTAGGGAGTTTAGGGAGTTTAAGGGAGTTTAGGGAGTTTAATGCGTTTAGGGAGTTTAGGGAGTTTAGGGAGTTTAGGGAGTTTAGGAAATTTGGGGTTTGGGGCTTGGCGCAGAAAGGTCAGGGGTTTAGCTTAGGGCTTGCTGTCTTTACTTGGGTTTAGGGCTTCCTGTCCTTTAAAAGTTTAGGGTTTAGCTTAGGGTGTTCAGGGTTTAGGGACTTTAGGGTTTGGGGCTTAGCTCGACAAGGCCAGGGTCTTGCAGGTCTATATCGGGTTCAACCCTCACCAGGCAATTCAACGATCGCAATATTTGTTCGGTAGTTGAACCGTTGGGGAGTAGAAAGATGCATGGCTCATACCGAATAACAATATATGTCGGCAATACAGGAACGGACATCTGGAAAATACTCAAGCGAACGTGAAAAGCCTCTCTGCAGCGCAGCTGTCCAAATAACTTGGCAGTCCTACGGTTGATGATATAAGTCCTGCATTACCTTAAGGACCCTAAACTATAGAATTATGGTATATTCCTTCTTATGGGTCATGCAGGATTTACATCATCAACCGTTTCAGGGAGCCCACATCTCGGATAAACCCCAAATGGGGAAGACTTTGGTGGAGGGCAAGAGCTTGGCTTTCGGGCAAGAAGTCCGCAAAATTCGACCTACGGTTGATGATATACATCCTGCATCATTTTAAGGACCCTAAACTATGGGAATTATGGCATATTCCTTATTCTGGGTAATGCAGGATTTATATCATCAACCGTAGGGTTTGGGGCTTTGGGCCGTTGGGCGTTTAGGGTTGAGTCTTTGGAGCAGCCTAAACCCTGAGCTCTCGATCCCAAACGCTCAGGGTTTAGAGTTGTGGGTTTCAAAAACCCTAAACTCGAGCCGCAAACCGACACGTCCTAAGCCCGGGGCCATGCAGGAAGTGTCCAGAATCCACCCATCCTTCAGACAACGCTTTAATGCTTCGAGCTTGTCGGTTGGCGCAGTCGGGGCCGGAGGTTGGGTTTGAAGCTCAAGACTAGAAGATACTGTGATATACTATAATGTACGAAAATATACTACGACATGCTAGATTTATATATGACGAGATACAGAAATTACACATATTCTCAGGATTCAGGTGGCGGACTTACCATGGGCCTGGCTGGGCTTCAGGACCTCACCACAAGCTGTGGCTTTGGTGATTCACGTCGAAGGTTCAAGGTTGCTTGAGGTGCTGCCAAGTGGTCTTGGCGGGTAACTAGAGGGTTCCGGGCAAGAGCGGCTTCAGGATATAAGGGCTTTTTTTTAACTGCAGGATATAAGGTTTAGGGGTTTAGGGCTGTTTGGGGCTTAGGGTTGAGGGTATTGCCTTTTCGATGCTCTGGTCCGGTACCACCTGACCTAGCTACCTCCATGCCGGAATTGCAGACCGAGACCCAACACCCTGAAACTCCAACAGCAGTCCAACACAAAAGACATCCTTCCCCTGACCCCTGAAAGCCCAACCCCCGAACAGCCGAAGCGGATATGAGGCCTAAATATGTCCTAAACCATGACCCCTGAAGTAAGCCCTATTATAGTATATTGTAGTCTATTATACCTAAACTGCAAATCTCGTGCCTGGAGCGTCTGGAACGGCATAGCTGAGTGAATTCCTCCCCAGATGAAGATCTCATCTGCGCTTGTGGCGATGGCAGAGTGCAGCGTTCCTGAGGGATCTGAGGTCAGGGTTTAGGGTTTAGGGTTTAGGGTTTAGGGTTTAGGGTTTAGGGTTTAGGGTTTAGGGGTTTAGGGTGCGGGTTTCGGCTTTAGGGTTCAGGTTTAAGAGGCTCAGGTTTAGCATGTGGGATAAGGGCACCTGATGTCGGCTTCAGGGGCGTACAGGCAAAAAGCCGTAGGCCCCGCCTTTCTCACATGCACTTGTAAGAAAAAGAGCGCTGCCTCCACCCACATTGAACGGCAGCACACACCTAGACGGCCAGTTCGGACCTCAAACCCCGAAACTCCAAAGCCCTAAACTCTGAACTCAGGCACGCCTTGTAACGAACCTCCCCAAAACCGAAAAAAGCCCTTCAAAGCTTGATCGTAAAGCCTTCATAGAACGCTTACTTGCTAAGCAGCCCTTTAAGGCCCTTTAAGGAACTATTACGGTACCCTTTAAAGGAACCCTGAGGGCACCCTTTAAAGGAACCCTTTGCTTTCCGGTGAGGTTCTTGCAGGCGGAACCTGCGAAGCTGCATCCAGCTCAATGGGAGACCTCGGTTCAGGATCTCCGGTACACAGTGTGGGGGTCGGTTCAGGGTTTAGGGTTTACGGTTCAGGGTTTAGGGTTGAGGGTCAGGATCTCCTGTATTGTAGGGGCCGTCAAAAGTAGAATGGGGATCTCCGGTACACAGTTCACTCACCTTTGGTTAGTAGGGAATGGAAGAATGGCAGTAATAGTAGTCATACTTGTACCCCATTCCTCCATTCCCTACTAACTAAAGGTAAGTTTAGGGTCTGAGTAAGCAGAGGGTATAGGGTTTAGGGGTCTGCATAAGTAGCAAGGTTGTCTATGGCTTAAAACGGATTTATAAGGATATTATGGAGTGTTTTGTCCTGCATAAAGGCCTGAGTAGGTAGAAGGCTGTATAAGGCTCAGAACGGATTCATGGGCTTATGAGGGAGTGTTATAGGAAAGAGCTTAGCGCTAGGGACAGGAAGGCATCTTCTCAGGGATTGTGCAGACCTCTCTATTTCTTTTGGTTTTAGGAAGTTGCAAACGCATTAAATTTAAATACTCGGCAGCCTAGCCGTACAACGGAACAGAAGCCTAGCGCCCAGAAGCTCCAATCTGCCTCCAGTATACATGTCTGAATATAGATGTCTGAATCAGCCCGTCCGTAGGCATTCTCCTAGGCATTCCATTCCTGTATCAGTGTATCATAATATGCCACCAAACCCTCTGCTAATGGTTTAGGCAGCTAAAGAAAGACTCCATTGAAACCCCTACTAACACCTTTTCTAGCAAATCGGCCAGATGCAAAACCCTGCAAAACTTTTAGGAAACCCTGTCCAAAGTATCAAAGCCCCATAGAAGCACTAAACTCAAAATCCGAAAACCGAAACTCGGAAGCCCAGGAAGCCTGGCAACCGCAAAACCCCAAAACACTACCGGACAATCTCGCCAGACTCCTCGCTGGCAGGCGGCCACTCATATTCGCCTCGAGCACCTGGAGACCACCGTTTGCTGCTTTCCGTAGGAGGCATTGCGGTGCTACAGGGGTTTATGGGGCTTCATACCATGCTACACGGCTCGTGTGCGGTTTCTACATTGTTGTACGATGGAACAGGGCTCTGCAAGGGTTCCACAAGTGCGTGGAGTTCGCTTGGTTCCTGTAGGGTGTTTAGAGTTTAGGTTTACCTTTCGGGTTTAGTGTTTCAGGTCTAGGATTTAGGAAGTACGACAAGCTTGGGTTTAGGGTTCAGCGCTTGAGCCTCAGAGTGAAAGAGGATTCTTGCGTTTCGGGTTGAGGCTTTGGCAGAAGGGACTTTGTGGGCGGGACGTTGAGTGGTTGGGATTTTGGGGCTGAGGCCTGCGGGCCCTAAACCCAGCGGCCCAAGCTGCTTCAGCTGGGCACACTGGGGCTTAGGGGAGGGGAAGGGGCCCTATAAAGGGGTCTATAAGGGTTACTACAAATCTTGCCTTTGGTTAGTGGGGAATGGAAGACTGGTAGTAATAGTAGTTATACTTGTACCCCATTCCTCCATTCCCTACTAACCAAAGGTAAGCACAACCAAACCTGAAACCATAAGCGCTCGACCGCAACCGGGAACTCCATGACAAACAGATGCTGGCGAGAGACCGAGCTTCAGCTTGAAAAGGTCGCTATTGGGAGCAGGATTGCCCTGATCATTCCTGTCCAGCAGCACCCAGATCTTCTTTGTGCATTCATCCTAAACCCTAAACCCTAAACCTTTGAATACTTATAGAACCCTCTCCGACCTCGACCTCGTTAGAACCCTTGTAGACCCCTTCTAGAAACCCCTAAACCCTAAACCTTCGCATTATTCTAGGGCAGTTTGGGATTGAGTGGTTCAAGATTCAGGGTGTTTACCTCTTTTGAGCGTCGCTGGTTCTAGGCTTCTTGGTGCAGACTTCGCATGTTCAGAAAGGGCTTGGGTCTCGCACGAGGCTTGCGGATGTAGGCCTTAAGGGCTTCAGGTTTGAAGGCTGATGAGTTTGAGACTGTAAAGCTTCAGCCTATACCCTCGTCCAACAGGAATCCTTTGAGGAATCCCTTCAAGTACCCCATCGAGTCCTTCTGCCATCCATGCCACCAAACCTCGGCGGCGGTTCTGCAAAAAATCCAACAATTTAGGGTTTAGGGTTGGGTCCTTAGAGTGCTTAGGGGGTTGGGGTTTAGGGGTTTGAGGCTAACATTACTGAAGTATGGAATTTGTCTTGAAATATTGTAGGGGCCCTCAGGCAGGATCCATAGGTCCAGCGATTTTAGAGTCTGCCAAATCTGTCTGTTCTTGAGGGCGGACATATTTCAATCATCGAGTCCAGGATTGAGGGTTCAGGGATGAGAAGGGTTTTGGGGGATGCTTGAGCTTGAAGTCAATTTAGGGATCTATGGTTTACCGGGGCTCCAGTCTCAACATAAGGGCCATGACACTGCCAGGTAAAACAGGGAGAGCTCGGGTCTCGAAAAAACACTGCTAGGCTTTCTTACAATCCTAATCAAGGCGCGGACAATCTTATACATTAGATGGCAAGTGGAGTGGTATACAAGCCGCCAAAGCAGCAACAAGGTGGGTTCTTCATAAGGAAGCGAAATTCCACAGGTCCTACCTTCGAAAGTCCCTGTAGAACAACCCCTACGAAAAATGCTACCCTATCGAACCCATCTAACAAACCTCCTAAGTGGCCTGGTCCGAAAACCCCAACCCTAAACCCAGAAACTTTAAACCCAGAAACTTTAAACCCTACCCGAAACCCGAAAACGGTTCGGCATGCCGTGGGGCAGGAAGAAACCTTGCGACATAGGCGTCAGGGTGTGACCTGGCGTCGCGGAGGTTAAGACCCGAAGAACCCAGGAACCTAGGGTTTAGGGCTTTAGGGTTTTAGGGTTTTGGGTTTAGGGTTTAGGGGTTAAGGGTGTAAGGTTCAGGTTTGAAAAAATACTTGCTGCTATGCTTCATGATGCCGTAACAGAACTACTATCGTAATTCATATTTGTTTAGGGTTTAAGGTTTAGGGTTTGGCATTTGGAACATAAGGTGCTGAAAGGAATGGATGCTTGCCTGCAGGGCGCTGAAGTGTCAAGCATCCGGGATATTCAGTTGTGTTCGGGACGGGCCAACCCGATGACAGCGCAGACAGACCAAACGCGTTTCAAGGTACAATGCTTACTATCATGGCCACAATCCAGTGCAAGTCTGCAGGTGGAGGATCTTGTGATACTACCAAGATTACTCTGATCATTGCTACTATGACTCCTACTCGCCTGCCTGTGACTGTGTTGTGATCGTGAACCATACCGTTCTTGCTCGTGACTTGAAACCTGCTCATCCGCACCATCCCGGTTTAGGGTTTAGGTTTCAAGCTTGATGGCCACGGTCATTCCTGCAATCGATGTCCCAAGCACTTAAGCCCCCGCTGCCGCCTCAAACCATCGCAACCTACTTTTTCTGTACTTAGCGTCTTCGTACAACCGTGATGACGAGTAGGCACCCAGCCAACACAATAACAGGATGCCTTCTCATTGAGGACTACTTCTACTACAGCTACGTGTCTTGTTTGCCAAAGGAATACTCTAAATAAGCAAACCCTATTACCCTAAATCCCAAGACCACAAACTGCAGCCTTTATTGAACCTACTACTTATTGTTGTAACTCTAAAAACTCTATGTAGGTGCGAAACTCGCGGAACCCCACCGGCCTGCTCGGGGAGTGACTGTTCTTTCTGCATCTCCGGATTGGCTCAATTTGACCTCTAGCTCGAGGTTTTAAGGTTTGCGCCTAGGTTTTTGGGCCTTGATCAGATGTCTAGTTGTAGATTTTAGGGTTTACGGCTTGGGGTTGAGGGTTTGGGATTTAAGCTTTACGGTTAAGGGTGCAGTTTGACCTCTGTTTCTAGGATTTGGGCTCTTCAAGGCTTTGGTTTCGGGGCTCAGGGTTTAGGGTTTAGGGTTCGGGGCTTAGGATATATAGGGTTTAGGGCTTAGGGCCTGGGGATGTAACGTAGGGCTTGGGTCCTGGGGCTCAGGATGGCCGGAACCCGGTTCTACTTAAAGGATCATGGGACTTAGTAACTGTAGGGGTTCCTTAAAGGGCTCCTTAAAGGGATCTATAGGGGTTCCTTAAAGGGATCTATAGGGTTTAGGGTTTAGGGTCTACTTAAAGGATCATGGGACTTAGTAACTAGGGTTATAATTAGGGTAACTATACTTATAACCCCAATTAAGGCACTTATAACCTTACTTACTAAGTCCCATGATCCTCCAAGTACGCTTATGCTTTAAGGTTGAAGGCCAAGGGATCAGGGTCTTCATGTGTGGGGTGGGGCGGGGTGGAGGGTTCCTTGAAAGGGTCTAGAAGGGTACCTTTAAGGGGCTCTTTTGACGGATCTATGGGGTTTTGGGGTTTTGGCTTTTACTGACCCAGTTGCCAATAAGATGCTGACTATACCTCAGTATTCCTCGGATATGTCCCCCAAGCCCTAAGTTCATAATCAAGGTCCCTTATCACCGGGATTTCCGTCGGAATGGAGCAGTCCCCAAACAATCAACGAAAAGCTCCAAACTCCGAACCCCCAAAACCCTAAAAAGCCTAAACTCTGAAATCCTAAGCTCCGGAGGGCTGTGGATTCGGATTTTGCTGATAACCGTGAGTTCGGGCCCGCGCCCCAAGTAGCACGGGGCCCTGAAGAATATGAAGAGGGTTCCCTTTAGGGTTCTATACGGATTATCATAAGGCCTGCTATGATGGCTTAATGTAGGATCCTATGGCCTAATACTTGGAGTAGGGATAAAGCTCAGGATTTGCAGCGCCATGCGACGCATGGTATAGAGCATGTTTCGTCGAGGGCACTTCTTGGTTTAGCGATGGTTTTTGGGGTGTACTTCCGTGCACTTCACGATCTTTATGCAGGGATTCCTCCTATCTTGAAATGCCGTCAGCCCTTCGTTCCTTGAGCTCTTAAGATCCCACGGGGTCCAAGTATCTTATGGTATATACTTATAGGGTATTTTGGGGTTCTAAGTATATACCATAATGATACTTGGACCCTTCGGGTACTGAACCTCAGCACTCCTGAATCCTGACGGTAGTGGGCTTAGAGTTGTGGGGAATCCGGATTGTTTCAAGGCATCCTGGTTCAATCCTACAACCCAGAACCCCAAAACCCCAAACCCTAAACCCCAAACCCCAAAACCCTAAACCCTAAACCCTAAACCCCAAACCCTGAAGCCGACAACGTATCTTCCGTGAGCCAGGTTCTCGGCCCATGCGTACGGAAACGGCATGGTCCTGACTACAAACCTCGGACGGAGCGAAAAAGGTTGAGAGTTTCGGGCTATAGGGGGGCTCTATGATTCGGGGGTTTGAGGCTGGGGATGCAAGGTTTAGGGCTTATAGGTTTAGGGACTCAGGATGTAGGGCGTTCAGTAAGTTTAGGTACTCAAGATGTAGGGCGCGCAGGAGTGCAGCTTAAACAAGCCCATAGTCATAGGTTGCATGGGTTTAGGATTTAGGGAAAAAGCCTTGTGAGGCTGACTATTGCAAATTCATGATGTGGGTTTCGGGCTTCATGGCTTGGGGTCTGCATTGTAGGCTTTCCAGGTACCCCACAGCTTCACACCCCAAAGCATACCTTACGCCCCGAAACCATAAAGCGTAAAGCCTGAACTCTAAGGTTCGTTGCTTCCCGTGTCCTGCGCATGTCTTGGGTTCAAGGTTTAGGGGCGAATGGTTTTTGAGGATTTTACACAATTATAACGGTTCTTTAAGGGATCTGTACGGGCTCTATACAAGTTTTCGGCTCACGGTTTAAGGTTTAAGGGCGTAGGATTTAGGGCTTGAGGGCTTTGGGTTGAGGGTTAAGTCTTGCAGTTTGTGTAAGGCTTCAAGGTTCAGGTTGTAACGGCTGCGGGCTTTGAGTTGGGAGCTTGGTTCTCAGACGGACTCGACATGGCTTGGGGTGAAAAAGATGCTGCGAGTTCGAAAGAGGCCACCATTGATGTATACACCGGATCCCAAACCTTGCAGACAACATGCAATTAGAACCCAAACCTAAACTCTAAACCCTGACCTTGAACTCTACAGAATCCTAGAAGGAATGTTCTGGATCCCTGGGTTCCTGTGTCTCTCGGAGGCTAGGTGACTTAGTCCTAGAAACTCGCGAAATCATTCTCCCATGTCTATCGAAACCTTGGGTTTTAGGGTCTTGGGTTTAGGGTTTAGGGTCTAGCAAGACCCTGAATCCCGCAACCCGAAATCAGCGGCTAGGCATCCGTGATGGAACGATGCCTTTTGAGCGGACTTCAACGGCAGATTTCCCTGCCTAATCTCGCCTGGACTTTGAAGTTTCGGATTCATGTAAGGCTTCGCAGCCGAAGAGTACGGAGTGGGATTTTTAAGCTATGAAGCTTCAGACGGATGCTGAGGCGGGGAACCCTCAAGACCAAGAACTCTTGATCCCCCCCCACGCCTCCACCCGTTCTAGCCTTACCCAGCGCAGCCAAGGCACAAACACTAAAGGGAACCTTGGCGGAAGCTTCAACTGTGCTCGTGCGCATATCTTATGCCGTCAGCGAGAACGCCCAAGCGGACATACATGACTTGGGTCTGAGGGCCTGACAGCTTCAAGGCCAAACTGACGCGGTAGGATGCAAGACTTAGGGCTTAAGCTGGACATGGAGCTATGCCTCAGGACTGCGTCTGCTGATTGGACGTGCTGTTGTCTCTATGCACGCTCCGTGCTTTGCGAAGGATGACATGTACAGGTTCCTAGAGCCTTGAAACTGCTTCGAAGAGCCCTCAGTTTTTGTGCGTGCGTCATTCAAGAGCCCAGGGCTAGGAATTCTGGGCTTTTTGGCGATTGGAATCACTGTCTGGTCTAATATGGGAAAGCTTCAAGCCGAAACTGCTCCAAAGTTTGAAACCCTGAAGCCCGGAAATCCTGTACACTGGAAGGTGATGCCGGGTGTCTTGAGTTGGTCTTCTGCAACTGTCCGCACCTTCGCTGGTCGTTTTGCACGCTCTAGTCTAGGTGGTCAACGCAGGATTTATGCACATGGATTCAAGGTTTCGGCAGGCCTGTGGAGAGGCTGCACCTACATTGTATAGGATCTTTCAAATTTTGAACGAATCTTCGTTTTTGCTGCGAAGCCCCACGTTCCACGCGCTACCCCCAAATCCTAAATCCGAGGTCTAAAAACCCAAAACCGGGCCCAACGATTCTGCAACCCCAACACACATCAGAATATCCCAAAGTGGCTTTCCCTAAAGTCCGTACAGTGATTTTAAAAAATCTCAAAAACGCCACGAATTCACAATATGTTCACCGTAACCTGACCCCTAAACCCTGAACCTCAAACCAGACCCCTAAGTGGCTTTCGTGCCGCCAAGGATCACACAAAGAAAGTAGAACAGAACGACTGGATCGAGCCGAGATGCCGCGAGAAGATGTAGGTTTTGTGGCTTCACAGGGCTTTATAGGGTTTTGCAGCAGTCTGGGTGTTGCAACCGGGTTTTCATGTTGCTTAAAGGTTATTTTTGGCGTAAGATTCCAGAAGACCATCCCCATCAAACTGGATTTTGGGTCCGTTGAATAATGGCAGTATATGTGGTATCTGTTCAACTGTTTAACATAACCAAAACGTGGGCTCTCCTTCGGGCTAGGCTCCCCTTTTTTTGGAAGCACATTCCCAAAAAAGTTCCCACTTCAACAGAATTTCAAGAATAGTAATTTTCCAAACCATCAAGGGAACACCAGCGGATCAAGCAGCCCCGCCCCCCCGACCTGAACCTGGCCCCCTGAGAAGGAGCTTAGTTTAGGTAAGCAGGAAACTATAATATTCACTCTGTGTCCCTGTTGTGGATTGTGGCAGCGTAGACTTCATTCCCAAACCAAAGACCCTACACCCGAAAACCCGCAAGAACCTTCGGAAACCGTGACATTATGTACTAAATTAAGCGGTTCACCGGTTAAGGGTTAAGAGTTAAACCATCTCCCCCCACGCGCATGTCAAGCAAGAAGAACTATATCGCTGGCGGGGGCAGATCCCAGAGAGCCCAACACGCCATCTTCTAGGTTGCTTCTTCTAAGTGCATATGTAGATGTATATTGGAAAAATTTTTACATATATATATATATATGTATATACATAAATATATATATATATATACATATACATACTGGGCGCAAAAATCTTCAATTTGCAGAAGGCTTCCTCTTCGGGCTGAAGGAAGACTTCTTTGAACTCCTTGGCAAGTTGAGCTCTCCGGGTTCCTGTCGGCCTCTTCCGCTGGAGCTTCTCTGCAGCCGAGGCCCTGATGTCCTGCTCTTTCAAAGACTGCAAAAACCAAGGGAGAAAATTGATGTTTTGAGAGTCTAGGGTTTAGGGTTTAGGGTGGTCCCATGGGAAAAAATATATGTTTCTTACTACCCCAATAAGCCACAGAAACGAAAGGTCAAACTTTCTGATTCCTACTAAACTATAAGAGCCCGAAAAGTTTAAAGGTTAGGTATTGGGGATCTAAGAAAAGAGGGTGATAGAATTGAGGGTTCTGTAAGAGTTTCTGCAAGAGTTCTAAAAGGGGTTCTGTAAGAGTTTCTACAAGGGTTCGAAAAGGGGTTCTCTAAGCGCTACGATGTATTCTGTTCTGGATTGAAAGACTGAAGGGAGGGGTTGGGATTGAGAGTTCTGTGAGGGCTCCATAAGCATTTCTATAGGGGCTCTACGACGGCTCTTTCGGGGTTTCGATTCTTCCTAGGTCGTAGCCGTAAAGCTGCTTGGTTCGGGCTACTTACTGTCGGATGCAGAATCAAAGGTGAGGGTTTCAGGGCGTGGGGTTTGGGAGGGATGTGATGTGCTATTGAATACTCAAGCCCTACAGCAAACAACTCCCTAAACCCTAAAACTCCAAACCCTAAGCCCTAAACCCTAAAACTCCAAACCCTAAACCCTAAAACCCCAAACCACTCCGTCCTCTCTCTCCTCGGAAAGCCGCTGTGCCTGAGTCGCGGGCGTCTGGTTTTCGGGCTGAGGGCATCTTGGCCGTCCTACTGTGAGACGCTAAAGCCTCAACCCAAACCCTTTTAGAAAGCTTGAAGGAAGCCTGGCCTCATTATATTAATAATTTTACAGTAACCTCAGTATAATCAGTTTTGTAAGAACAATGAACCCCAAACCTTCGTTCACACTCCAAGCCCCAATCTCTGGACCAGAAGAGTGACGTGACCTTACAGCCTGAATCCAATCACGCCCTAAAGTCTTTCTGTCCCACAAACGAATCCATGGAACCCCAAAAGCCTACGTTCCGCCACAAGCTGCGGCTTAAGGAGTTCAGGGCTTTGGCTTAGAATTCGTGGACGGGGGTGACGTCCGGCTCGCGCTTCTGAGTGCTGGGCGTTCTGAAACTCGTGTTTTGGTGTGGTGATGCAACACTTTACGGCACAGCCCAAACCAAGCCCTGGAATGTCCCGAAGCCAAAAACACAGCCTTGGTGGAGTTCTGAACCCAAACCCTCAACCCCTCAAGGCCAAACTCAAGGCAAACCCCTTCAGTCTGGAGTGTACTGTCACGGAGCTGAATCTACGCTGCCACTGCCAAGCACGCTATTTACTCCGTATCCTTACCTGCTGACACAGCTTAAGTCACTTATTGCAAATTTCTAGACCCCAAAATATACAGTTATCAGACCTTCTAAAGCCCTACGACTATGGCGGATTCGGATTCGAGCTTCCAGCATTTCGGGATTGGGGTCAGGGTCTGGGGTTCAGCTTCGGGATGCGGGCTTTGGGGTCAGACTGGTCGACTGGATACAAGGTATATGGGTACGCTCCGGATGTAGGGAGTAGAGTCTACAATTTTAGCTTCAGGCTCGTAGCGGTTCAGAATCAGGGGTGCCTAAGTGCCTACATGAGGCCCGAAGGTCAGAACAAGGGCTAACAACTGAACCCTCCCGAAACTTGACAAGAATAATATCAGGAAGCCCCAAAACCTGAACCCCAAACCTATCCACTATCCATCATGGCAGATACATCTGCAAAGAACAAAACCTCACCGACAAATCCAGCAACAGACCCTTGTCTAGAAACCTACATAGGGGTTTCCCAAAATAGGGGACCCGACTATAGCGCCCTAAATAGTAGGATCCTTATTATACGGACCCCAATAAGGTTCCCTAATTTTCAGAAACTCCCACATTGCAACAACGCCATAAAACCTCGAAGCCACAAACCCTGGCCCTAAACCCTAAACCCTGAACCCTACACCCTAAGCCCTAAACCCTAAACCCC